GCGTAGCAGTTCATCTCTTGAATAATATTCACTCATAATTAGATAGTTTCCGGAAAATAAATTCATCCCATCACTATCGACGCCCAAAAGCGACGACGGCCTGGGCGCGAATGAAGGATGATTCCAAATTAGTGACGTGACTACTTGATAACCATAGATAAATCGATGTTTTAAATGTATGTAGGTTTTAACATTATTAATTTGATTTTTATATTCGTACGATGTATATTAATCGTATTAATAATTAAGTATCACTAATTCCTCAATGGACGCATTTTTTGTAGTTTTAATCAATGTTTTATTTCAATTAGCACAATCTTCTTATAAATTGTAGAAGGTTAAATTACCTCCATCACTAGTGTCGCTTCAAAGCGACAATGGCGTCAGGTGAACGTATATTTTGAGGTCTTATTTTCGCCTAAAACAAGTTCAAATTTGGAAAGAATACTATCAATATCAAGCTTAACTTTAGTTCAATTTAATTAAGTGACATACGGAGAAGACGACAAAATTAAAAAAATATAGTCTTTTTACCTATTTTCTATAATATTAGATTATAAAGTAGCACATTTTTTGTCGCCTAAACTCGACGTTGGCGTTCTAGCGGCCGATTACGTTTGTCGCTTGTAAGCATCGTTGGCGTTCAAAGGGTTAACAGACGGCAGAAAAAATTAATGTACTAACCATAAATATCTAAGACAAGTTAACGTATAGCAGTGTCTTAAATTCGAGACATTTGAGCTTCGGTTATTAATCTGCCTTCCAAACGCGGTTATAACAATCACCTCCAATTGCTGTGCAACGGCAGATTAGCGACAAGCCGAACCTCTTAAAAATATAAAATTTCTTAAGTCTACATCAAAGAAGCAGGTAATTTCTTAAAAGAAGAAACAGATTAAGACTATTTTATTTTTGTTGGCCTTCAAAATTTCCATAATACATTTTACAACAAATGTTATTAATTACTTTAATACTTACATTTCAATGCGAGAACTTGCCAAAATTTTTAATAGCTAAACATTTAAAATTGACAACTTTAGCTTTCTATCTGTGTACATATATTTCTATAATCTGTGCAAGCGATTAGTTGTCTCTATTGTAAGGGTTTTACAAATTATCCAAAAAATAAGTATAGAGAAAAATTAGGCTACCGTACATACATGATGTTTTGGTTTTTTCTATGTTACCCTCCAGTTTACACAAAATTTATTCAAATTTTAGAAACTTATGAAGAGATAAATATTCATAGGTATAATTATTATTATGAGAAGGTGGTAATGTGACCCCCGCAGGTATATTGGCCCCTTTCATTTTTATAACTTAGAAACACACCACATTTCGAGCAACGCAGAGCCCCTGTGACAGAATCGATTTAGTACCCAACAGTTCCGGTAGAAGACGTAACATTTATTTTATAAATGGAACCAGTAGAAACCAGCAACTGACAAACTTTTAAAACCACTCCGATATTTATTAAAATTTTGATGGGAAAAGTTAAGTTTTAATGATGGTGATTTGTACATCGTATGCGATTAATATTTTTCTATGGGATTTTGAAGGTTCTGAAGGCATAAACAAACTGATAAATTTCTGAATTGTGGTTTGTTCATTTATACTTGGATATTTCTAATTTGGCCCCTTCACATTGTTTGTATTATTGTCCCCGGGGGCCATATAACATCATATGAGCGACAAATTATTTCTTTTATTTTGCTGTTTCATATGCCTCAACAAAGTTTATTATCTCCATCTTCAAGGAAAAGAAAACCATGGGATCCCGACCATATGAAATTGAAGCAGTGAGGACTGGAGGAAGATCATGGGCTATAAAAAAAACTGCAAAAATGTTTTCTGTACCAAGATGTACACTGAAACGATTGGTGAAGGAGTTGCAAGAATCCTAAGAGATATTCGAGCCAAGTGGTTTATGGTAAAATGGGCTTTTTAAGAAGTCACTAAAGTGATTAGATTCGAAAGTTCCTTTTACATTCTGACAAAATGCTGAAGCCTTACGATATTGCTGATCTTTTTGGCCGGGCATATCTTAAAAGCATAGTGAATAGTTGATTCAATGCTAGAGCTGAAATTTATTGGCCCACACTGCCTGTGCAAGCCCTGAAGGCGAATTACATCTGCGATTTTGCCGAAAGGTTTTAATGACACTGAATACATTTAATATGGGCCATAGAACCCACACTGGACCTCAAGTTGTCAAATTTAAATACTTTTAGAATATAATTGTTTTTGATTATTCTGTCGCAGTTTCATTTATTCCATAGTCAAGCATATGCATAGACAAAGAAATAAGGAACACTATAATGTATTTATTCTTTTTTTGAGTGTGATATTTTTTACATAAATCCCCAAATACAAAGTAGGGGACCATATTACCAACTTCTCTATACGCAGACCTAACATAAAAAGTTTACCGGAATATTTAAATCTTATACATGAGCAAACTAAATATGTACATATACACGTTACGTTCAAGTTTTCCGTAAAAACATACATAGGTTTTCAAAGGATTTGGACATAGTTCTAAAAACAATATTGCTCTTATACTTATCATATTCAATGGGAGCGCTGCTTAAGTAAGTTTCTAGTTGGAAGCATCATTTTTATTTAATTTTTGAGTAAACCGTCGAATAACGCACGTTTGAGGGTCAAGCATAGAAAGAAGCTTTAAAACAAGGAATTATACCGAAAAGCACTGAAAGTAAAATAAAAAATGTCTGGTGTGTACTTAATTTTATTTGGTAACTGCAACAAATAAGCTTTAACAATACCAAAGCAGGAAGCTAACTAATTTTATTATTACTTATTAATAAGCCGAATTCATACCTTTGCACTGCACTGCACAATTGAACTAATTTAATATTGTGTGATCGGACTTTACTTTACTCTAGAAGAAAGTTATTTAATCTTCATGCTTAAAGTTTGTCTAAACGGTAATTGCTATACAATCTGTGTACTAACACTTCTTACACAGACGTGAGATTTATAACGCAAGTAGAAAATTAAGTACTCTAGACACAAGAACTTTTTAGAAAAATATAAAAACCAAAAACAGAAAAAATATATAAGCTCTATTCGATGCTAAAAGCAGGTATGAACTAATAATATATATCACGCTGCGCTGTTATGAAGCTTATTATACTACAGTAAAAGCATTAAAATAAAGTGCAATGGTGTAAGCCGGAGCTCAGGTTGAGTCAGAGCTCCCATAGACAAACTAAACTTTCCAAATATATCAAAGGTGTTTTATTGCTATTTGTCTTTGCGAGCACCAAATCAAGTAGAATCAACATAAAAACAAATAAACATTTATTGACAGTTTTGTCGTTAAAAAATTAAGGAACATTCACTCATCAATATGGACAGATAATTTAAGCAGACAGGAATTTCAAAATACATTATACATATTTCTTAAATTATATAAATACATCATAGATTCATCATATTATGCATAATCAGCACACCAAATGTTTGAATAAGGAATACCTTCTTTTTAAAAGACAGAGAGCTATAAATATACATAATTCTCTTATATGGCAAAACATACAGTAATCGTTCACAAACTTTATATCAGTATAGAATCTGGAATGTCACACAAATATTAAAATACTGATTTGTTAAACATCAACTTAAATAATATTAAACATGCGGATGTTTTATGATGGATGTTGCAATTTGAATTAAAGCCAATTTGCAACAGTCACACTAACGCAAAATGTTCCCCATGAAAATCCCGTAATGGCTGACAACCGTTTGTTTTGAGGAAGTATTAAATTCACCTTGCAACACCCCCGAAATAAATTAGTTAACCAAGCTACCATTTACAATTAAATTGCCGTTAGTAAACATATATTGCATCGACATTTTATATATGCAATATGTGATCGAACGAAATGTTAAGAGAAATTATTGTAATATACATTCATATATCTTTGATAATTTATTTTACACAACAGCCAAATAATACCTGCCCTGGACAGGTTTTTACTTAAAAATACCTTCTATTTAATCGAACAGCGAAAAATCTGATCTAAAGACGACCAATACTCGTTGCCAATGAGTAAGTATTTTCCAATATGTATCTCAAATAGATTAGGTAACGACAACACTACCTGTAACCATTGACTACATCGACTTATTATATATTATTTTAAATAGTTATCATACCACATATCTCAATGAAATTATTTTGGTAATTGTTAACTATGCCCTCGCCTAAACTGAGATTGCTTTATCAAATTATAATATCGAATTTGTTTAAAAAAAGAATGAACCCCTAAACCAGCCGTTTAAATACAGCAAGACGACATTTGCGTTATTTATATGAAATAAATAGTTTCCATAGAACATTCCATGCTCAAGGTATAGTCATTTATCTATAAAACAATTATTAAAATTTACTATTAAAGCGCAATGCCACATTGGATTCTAAAAGTTCGTTTAGTAGATACGTCACTATTATATAGCAACATCCACGATTTAATATTACAGATTCTTAATTAAAATGAGCAAACGACTGCCAGCAGTCAGTTAATGCAATCTCAGATGTCTAGGCTCGGGCATTGTGCGAGAGCGAATAATGAACGAGCACAGAACGCGTAGGATTAATTAAAAAATTATGCTAAAATGGTACTTAACACCTCAAAAATAAAAACTAGTTGACTATCAGCTTTTTATAACGTACAATTTCACTGCCAAGAGTAACAAAAAGAATTTATATTCTAATGAAAATACATGTAAAGAGATAGTCATACTAGACTTACATTTAAAGTTGTTTTTCAGGTAAATATATTTTCTAATGCGAAGTCGATATCAGCAACCTTTAACTGGGATTAAATATCAAACAGCTAAAAATGTGCAATCCCAACGTAAATAGATAGGTTTTTTTTTTGAAATTGGTAAATTGATCCTCCGCATGTGCTAACTTCGGTTACATGTTCGCTCCGCACACGTGCACGTAAGCAAGCACGCACACGAGAACGAGTTTACTCGTTATCAGCACGCATTCCGCGCACTTCCCCTTCGCGCCGTAGTTTTTCCAATTCCTCCTTAGTGCGTTCCTCGATGGCACGGATGTCCGCCATTGTCATGCCGTACCAGTCGTCCATGGAACAGAATACTTGTCTGCAAAATTTGAATTAAATGATTTATTAGTTGAGTCGAAATTCCGGCAGCGTTTCGCGCGAAGTTTTATAATTTTTGGAGAATTTCAGCTTATTGGTTACAGTAACAGTCAACATCGGTTCCTTGTTTTTTGTAGAATAAGGTCACAAACGACACAGTGCACCTAATCATAAGCGGGTGTGGTGGCCCATAGACATCTTCATATATACCCCTGAGGAATAAGATGGAATGCCTCGTTTCCAGTAAAAAGGGTCCCCGGTTCTCTACACTCACCATACGAAACACATCAGCATTATACTGCTTTTTTTTCGCTAGTATTCTGTGGTCATTCACCGATCGAGCCGACCCATTCATGCATACAATTTCACAATTCATGCAAACATACAATTATAATATCTGCAGTATGGCTCTAGTTACCACGAAAACCTTAATAAAACCTAAAAGGTGAAAACTAGCTACAGATTAAAATCTGTTAGGTAGAAATCCAGATCGTGAGCGATTTTTTTTAAGAAAGAACCTTTTGTAGATTTACCGCCGTTAAAGGTAATATAGGGTAAACTCAACTAAAACAATCAACTACAAATACAACACGTGTCCAAGAAGTATTGGCCAAACGTTAACACGCCAGCCTTACACCGCTATCACATGTCAAATGGGTTTTTAAAAAGAGACATTTGTTCAGTGCCTTCATTAGTAGTAACGCAATATACGTACATACAGCGGGCGGGTATCATATCAAATAGAACCTGGATGACCGGCAATGCTCAGCATCTTTCCAGTGAAAACGAATGTCCTCAGGGATGACATAATGACACCGATGTAAATTTGGAAAGTAAAACATTAATCTGTCAAGTACTGGACTTATACATGAGATAATCCAAGGTCAACTTTGTAGAACCCTCCAAAGAGTATAGTAATATTTAGAAAGGACCCCTCAGAACCAAAGAATAGATAATCACTATGTTTAGTCAGAACCATAGTTAAAGAGTGCTCAGAATAATTATTTTTTAAATGTTATTTATAAGAATTATACAACTAAAATTTTATTAGAATTAGTTTCGTTACTAAATTACGCTTCTCTACATTAAGAGAATTTACTTCAAATGATGAGTTTCCGCCTTTACCTACGCGTCGCATTTACGTCACAAACTTTAGTCTATTTCCTTCGCCGCGTGAGTGTAAGAGCCAACTACAAATTTAAAAAAAAATAAGTGGGTACACAAGAACGTTTGTTGTTAGTTTTTTTTTTTTTATATATATATAAAAGGTAATTAATTACACTGTTTTTAAAAGTAATTTGCTTATATTTTGCTTCGTAACAATTTCATACACTTTATAAAATTTCCATTTCAAATACTGTGTCGTTCACGTAAAAATTTTGTACAACCGACTTCAATATAAATTATTAAAAATAACTCAAAAACTATCAGTCGGACCTTGATCAAATTTATATGAGACCACATGTAGCTTTCAAATAAAAAATGAATCATCGAAATTGGTTCACGCAGAAAGAAGTTATGAAGTAACACACATAAAAAAAATACAGTCGAATTGAGTACTTCATCCTGTTTGAGATCGGTAGAAAAATGGCGTTGGTAAGATAGCGTAATTAAGTACATTATGCCTATGATTCAATATTTTTTTTTATTTTTTAGAGGCTCCTACTGAGTATATCGATATAATTATATTATATTTCTTTTCTTTATGAAAATCGAGTGTTTCTATGTTCTTGTTTCTTTCCTCATAGTAGTTATTTGATTTTAACATGTAGATTGTTTTCCTACGTGGTAGAGCCATGCTGCAGCTATATTAGTACTCGTAGTATAGTTGTAGCACGAATGGGTCGGCTCGACCGGGGAAGGACCACGCTCTCACAGAATACCAGCGTAAAATGGCAGCTTAACACTGCTGTGTTTCGTATGGTGAGTGTAGAGAACCGGAGACCTTTTTTACTGGAAAAGAGGCATTCCATCTTAGTCCTCACGGGTGACGACGCATCTGCATATTGATTCTTTATTGATGATAAATGTAGATGTCTATGGGTCGCAGTAACCATTTACCATCAGGTGGACTGTGTGCTCGTTTGTCACCATATCCTATAAAATAAAATAAAATAGATATTGGATTTTAATATATGGGGATTTGTTAGATTTGCCTTAGTTGTAGTGATATATAATATTTGAATATTTTTCTTTTCAGTAAACTTGTTTGCTTTTGTTATTTATTACTGTTTTAACCATTGAACTTGGAACTACCCCCTCCCTCTCCTTACAGTTTCCTTCCACTGCTGGCCATGAGCCATGGAAATAAAGGGGACCACAAAATTTTACTGCCACAAATATCACCCACCTTTGCAACGCTACCCTAAACAACGCACGGAGCCTCTGCGTTCCACCGAGATTAAATTTAGAAAAAATGTTCGTCTTTTTTACCTCCGACATTTTTTTCTTATCACTATTACAACAAACCCTCGCTGAACATAGGCCTCCACTATATACCTTATAGAGGGTATATTTGTCATAGTTGCCACGCTTGGCAAGCGGGTTGGCAACCGCAGTTTTTTTTAGTCGTTATTAGGAAGACACTGCTGCCCATCTCCTGATTTATTTCTCTCTGTCGCTTCTAGACATGAGTGATAAATAACATCACAGTGAAAAAATCCAATAACGTTGTTCCTTCACGTCGCCACCGTACTAGTTTCTCCGTTACTCCTGTCACAATTCATTTATCGACAAATCGTCTTGCAATCGTCGTTGCTCTAGCGCTCACTTGACCTTCATACAAATAATTCTATATTTTAATTGTTGATATTTTTTTTTTGATAAGAACATAGTAAAGACTCTAAGTTATTTAAAAAAAATGTCTTTGGCCTGACCTACTATACTCTTTGGCTTGACCATAGTTCTGACTAAGTTTGTCCAATAAAATGCCGCCACTACACAGTAATTGATAATAATTTCTCAAAACATTTCATTTATCGACAAATCGTCTTGCAATCGTCGTTGCTCTAGCGCTCACTTGACCTTCATACAAATAATTCTATATTTTAATTGTTGATATTTTTTTTTTGATAAGAACATAGTAAAGACTCTAAGTTATTTAAAAAAAATGTCTTTGGCCTGACCTACTATACTCTTTGGCTTGACCATAGTTCTGACTAAGTTTGTCCAATAAAATGTCGGGGCCTGAGAGGTTAGTAAATTGTAAAAATTTAAAGAGCAATGCTCCGTCATACCTATGGAATATAGTGAAAAGTCGTCGTTCTGACTTCTGGATCACATTTTCAACTTTACTCTGAAACAAAAGGAAATATATATTATAAAGTGACTAAAAGTGCATTCAGGTCAATTCAAAATCTTTAGTTTGCTTTAGAGATATAAATAACGAATCTAATTAGCATTAAAACTAGTGTTTAAACTTTAAATTTTATATTAACATATTGGTATAGTCTGTTCGCTTAGACACGGTCACATGAGTAAGAAACCGACCAGAGGGGAAGCTACATACAAACGTCACGCTGTGGGTACACTCACACATAGCACAGCGATGTGTGCGTGAGCTCCCACCGACAGGTTCACCGACGCTCCGTCGGGGTACAAACCGGTTTGCGCCGGCTCAGTCGGAGTGTGAATGGAAGGGCTGTGTCTATCATGCGTATAGAAATAGACGAATAATATTTCATGATTTTATAGATCAATATGTAATGTGAAGCTAAGCATGATATATATGTAATGTGAAGCTAAGCATGAAAATAAGCAAAATATACAATTTTTGCAGTTTCAATTTTAATTACCAATAACAGACATGTTATTATATTAACTTAAGTTACAATGAATACACATGTTGTTTTATACTACATAATATTTTTATATTTTCCTTAAAATTTTCACATGCATCAGATGATAACCCTATCAGAATAGGTATATTTTTTCCACGATGTTACGAAGCTGCCCCTTTGGTCTTTGTCTTTACTCTGTGACACGGTGACCCATTGTGTCGCACCGCCTTGGTACTTGCAGCATTTTGTCAAAGGTGCCGCTGCGACATCAAAAGTAGCCGCGTGCGGCGTAAACCCGACGGAGTATTTGGCATTTTAAAACAAAGCGCCGTAGTGAAAGGTTCTTTGCTACCTAACTTTTATTACAATAACCATAAGAACAAAATAGTATTCTATTCTATTTTATTACAATAGACAAACATTTATTTAACAAACACAGTAAATAACATAATAAAATAAAAGCAAAATAATAAGTGTGTCTCCGGGTGTACCGACACTATCTTATCGAACAGACTTTATTGTCCATCATTACTGCTGAACATAGGCTTAGACCTTAGGCATAACCATAGATTGCCTAATAAGGGCGATTTTGCCATAGTTATGACGCTTCGCAGACGCGGTGGCAACCACAGTTTTTATTATAATTTTAAGTTATCAGAAAGATGCTGCTACCCTGTTCTGTTTCCCCTGTCGCCTCTTACGACACCCACGGGACGATATGTGGTAGTGGATATTCATACACCGTCACTACATGGTTAACATAATAAATGAAAATAGTTAATAACATAAACAGAAATATTTAAGAAAAAACATTGATCCGACACAGTTTTCAGACAGTAAAAGAAGTCGAGACACATAAATTTGATACGGCGAGGAATAGGACATAAGGGGAGATCGCATGTTACGTTCGTGAGAAAAACTCAAATACCGAAACTTGCATTTCAGGTATACGAACATGCATGGATCTTATAGGATTGATAATAAGTTAAAAAGATAGTAAGTTCTAATACATCTACGCTCACGCTGATGGAGACATATTACCTTAAAACGGTAAAACAATACGTTATCGTATTTACAAAGACCGACAACAAACGGAGGCAGATATTGAGCAAACTTCACAGATGTACTTGGCTTACATCAGAATAACACACCTAGAGAAATCTTTTTATTTACAGATATCAAGAAGATGTCATTATCGACTGAACAGAATGCATTAGAGAAGTCAAATTATTATTCGAAAAACGGTTGATATGACCTCCGGATTGTGGGGATAGCGTTTTTAAGGAAAAATCACAATTGTAAATTATTGTTTCTAATCATATTTCATCGAATAGCTTTTCTAATACGCCGAAGAAACTTTTATACGTGTTTAAAAAACACAGGGCAAAAGAATTATTTTACTTATTACTCATGTGAAGGCCAAACTAATAATCTCTTTTGGTGACGACAGTAGACAGCGACTGCCTTCTGTGAGTTATTCTGGACTCGTCTGTGTCAAGTAGAAGCGTAAATTTTAGCTTATTAGTGATGTAGTTGCAAGGCTTGTATTTCATTCATAATTCGTTTTAAAGCGATACAACCAGACTGCCATACTACTTGAACTCGATCTGATCTTTTATAATATTATTTAGCACATATTTCGGGAAATAACTCGAAATAGCTGTAACATTTTATATAAAATTGATTGTTATTTAACTCTATTTAAGGTTGACTTAGTAATATATTCGCTGTTAGATCGCTTATGCGTTTTCGCTTAGTGACGTCAACGTCGGCATAATATGTAGCAAGCAAATAGTAGCGGTAAGTACTGTTGATTCTGCTTTTGCTTCGTTAGCGTCCACAAATATTAACCTAACACCAACGCCAACTTTTATAAAACACACAACTTTTATGGTAAAATTTTCGTGAAAACGAAATGCATTCGAATATTTACTTAAAAATTACTAAAAAAATTCTGTTCATTATCCTTGAGTTAATTATTATCGTTCTTCTGTAAGCGCCCTTAGACGGATACAGGGCTATGCATTCGAATCTTTAAGATCCCGGTCAAATCAGAATGTGGAGATAGTCTAAGGCTGTAATTTCTTATGTTCAACGTGGAACGTTGTCCTTGGCAATGAGTTTAACTAGTTTAATATAGTTCAGTCATAACTGAAACGCAGATTTAAAGTTTTAAGTAGATCGGCAGCAGAGACGAGAACAAATTATCTATCTATCTACACTTTATAATATCTACTCTATCTAAACGAAGTCTTTATCGATCGTGTCATGATTCTGATGGTTTCTCCTCTAGTTACTTCTACTATTATATATGAGCAAGATATCACACACTCACCTGAAGGCCAAACCACTTGAACTCGGCGGTAACGAGCTTGTAGCAGGTCATCATCGGTTTAATATCATTCTTCCAGTTTGGACCGACTAGCGGGCCGCGGCCGGTCTTAGTTGACTTGAACTTGGTCGGGTCAGTCTCGGGTTTGTAATCCGCAGATGGCAGCGGGTCGTTTGCAATGTCGATGTGGACTACCTCACGGGTTTTTAGCTTTTCCGGTGACAGTTCATGTACCTTAAAGGATATAAAATATACATTTATTACCAAACAAAAATTAATGACCCTATGATAATTTAAAGTTTCTCTACATCCCTTTCAAATTATCTTACGAGGATGGATTGAAAAGTACTCGGCCTAACACAGATCCATTCAATTCTAAAAATCAAATCTACCCACATTATTTAGTTCAGTTCAGACTAGTTCATTGTGTGAAGTTCGAAACGTGTGCGATAATTAGTTGTGATTTTATAAATTTATTAACAAAGTAATCGGACATAATTTCCGCGAATGGAGCAAATCGAGCAGCGTGCCGTCATTAAGTACCTCCATAAGAAGGGGCTATCATCAAAAGCCATCCATGATGACATGGTCAGTACATTAGGCGATTGTGCTCTGTCATATTCATCCGTCAAAAAATGGATAGCAGAATTTAAGCGTGGTAGAGAGAGTGTGAAAGATGAACCCCGCTCTGGAAGGCCTTCGACGTCAACTACTGACGAAAATATTAAAAAAGTACTTGATTTAATAATGGGAGACCGCAGATTAAAAATTAGAGAGATAGCCGAGATTATAGGCATCTCTTATGAACGAACTCAAAACATCATTGTCAACGAGTTGGGTTTCCACAAGGTGTCTGCGAGGTGGGTTCCGCGACTGCTTTCAGTTGAACAAAAAAGGACGCGATTGACTATTTCTCGCGACTGTTTGGAGTTATTTGAAGCCGATGCAGATGATTTTTTGAATCGTTTTGTTACTATGGACGAAACATGGGTTCATTACTGTACACCGGAAACAAAACAACAATCAAAACAGTGGAGAAGACCTGGTTCACCACCCCCTAAAAAGGCTAAGTCGATTTTGTCGGCAAATAAGGTGATGGTGTCAGTATTCTGGGACTCGAAAGGTGTGATTATGATTGATTATTTTGAAAGGGGTCAGAATATAAACTCTGATTACTACTGCACCTTACTACGTCGTTTACGAGAGGAAATAAAAGAAAAACGTCGAGGAATGCTCAGAAGAAAAGTCCTGTTTCATCAAGATAACGCCCGTGTTCACACGTCAGTACAGTCAATGGCTGAAATTCACAACTGTGGCTTTGAACTGTTACCGCATCCGCCGTATTCACCTGATCTGGCACCATCAAACTTCTTTCTGTTCCCTAACCTAAAAAAGCACTTGGGAGGTCAAAGATTTTCGACAAACGACGAGGTCAAAGCAGCTGTAGACGCATATTTTGACTCTAAGGAAGAATCATTTTTTTTCAACGGTCTAAATGCTTGGAAGGGGAGGTGGCAAAAGTGTATTGAACTTGATGGCGATTATGTAGAAAAATAAAAATATAACTGATTTAGTATTTGTTTATTTTCTTGGTTAGGCCGAGTACTTTTCAATCCACCCTCGTATTAAAAGCAGTACTTATCCAAATGTATATTGAGTACTTTTATAGCTAGTATAGTTGCAGCACGAATGGGTCGGCTCGACAGGGAAAGGGCCATGCTCTCATAGAATACCAGCGTTAATTTACGCGTAAAATAACAGCTTAACACTGCTGTGTTTCGTATGGTAAGTGTAGAGAACGGGAGACCCTTTTTACTGGAAAAGAAGCATTCCATGTTAGTCCTCACGGGTGACAACGCATCTGCATTTCGATTCTTTATTGAGGATAGATGTAGATGTCTATGGATCACAGCAACCACTTACCATCAGCTGGACTATGTGCTCGTTTGTCATCCTATTCTATAAAAATGGCTAGATAACCACTTGAAATATCGTGTTATGGCGACCGCGTGGCTCCGAACTGTTGAAAGGTCTATTCGACTCCGCGATCCGTTAATTACAGGTGTCTATGACTTGTAGAAGCTACTTACAATCACAACGATGTTGATAGCTTTCACCCCAATTTTACATAAAAGATTTCACTGTCAAATCAATCAGAACGACAACGTGAAAGAAACCTATTGTTCCACAGTAAATAAGCTGGCGACTGTATGTATTGTTAGCTAATAAATACTAATTGCTTCAAATGATTACGTTTGGCCTGAGTCATTCTCACACACTTGACCCTGGCATTAACCTTTTAAAATTTTCAAAATTGAATGTGTCTGAAAGATATCTCCATACGGATCTCACGGCCATTAAAACTTCAGAGCCATTCTGCACGTGTGTGGTATTTGACCCTTATAAGTATCACAAGCTTAAAGTATCAACTAGAATGTATTCTAAATAATTACATTAATTGTATTCCCCTATTCTCTTCCTGGATAATGCCTCTAGAGTAATCGTTTGTTTATAAAAATCTAGGTCTATTAAAGACATGCTCCTGTCATTTATTTTCCCAAAAAATTATTAGAAAAATACATGTAACTTTCCAAAAACTTAAAAAAATGCCCCGTTTTTACCTCCGTAATCAGACGACTACCAAAGAAATTTGAAAAGTTTTTAAGATAAAAGAAAATTAAAAATAATTTAATCGACTTAGTTTTCGATGAGAAAACAGGGAAATACGAAACGTCAATCGGTCATGGTTTTTGTAGGTAAAATCGTTCTGAGCTGCGACCGCAATAGTTTCTTCAAATACCTATTTCTCAAGTCCCGCGCAGACCGACTACGCTCTTAAGAAATCATTTAAAACGTTATGAAAAACTTAAGGCGCCTTTATAAAAGTACTACAAAATACCTCTCAAGGTTTTTATTAAAGAATATGAGTGACAAGGGAGCACATAATCCTCCTAATGTAAGTGGATGCAGTGGCCCATAAACATCCATTAAGATGGAATGCCTCGTTACCAGTGAAAGCCGTCCTCTAGTTCGCTACACACACCATATAAAACACAACAGTACCACAGCCTAACAACATACAGTCAGTCATCGCGTTTGATGTTGTCGAAAAAGTTGACATCACAGAGTAATAATTACAGTAATACTGTATGGCCTTTTGCTAGGGTTGTCATGACATTATAATTTGATTGTTTTTACCACACATGTAGTGTAAACCATTTTAATTTATTAACGTGACAGGACAACCCTAGGGCACAGTTCCCGAGCGACTAACGACCGTTCGGGAGCGCTCCGCCCGCGTCTCGGCTCACACCGCACCGCACCAACTGACAGTCGGCGACTGTTAGCAGTAGTTAGACTGTGGCAGCACTAAGCTGCTATTTTACGCTGGTTTTCTGTAAGAATGTTTAATGAGAGTTAAATACAGGAGTATCACACGGTCGTATTTCATCACGTTAAAATTCTTTGTAGTGTTATCTGAAGATTTTCTGGAGGTTTTCATTACTGAGGAGGGAGGGGGTTAATAATTATAAAATAAGATACATCTGAGCTATTTTTTTTATATTTTGGATTAAAAGAGTTCACAGCGCATGTTAGCAAACTTCAGAACCTGTCCTCGAAATAAATTTTTAGGTGTTAGAGGTTATCAGGAGAAGATGCTGCTGCCCATATATTTGTTTCCCTGTCTCTCCTTATGACGCCCCCCGGAATAATATACCTTACACCGCTACTACATGACAACTATACTGCATAAAGGATATTGCATCAATCCATACAAAAGGAAAATCCGTTAATAGGATCAAAAATACGAATGGTTTGCGTAATGTATATGTATACAATACGCCCATATCATATTAGTATATTTACAGTTATAATATGTAATGCATAATACAATGTAAATAAGAAAAGAATACACAAACTTTATCTAACAGCATTTTGCATTTAGCCGTAACAAATACACAAAAAAGCAATAAAAGCGAGTTAAATACATACTTACAATATAATAAGTGGTATACGCCGGCCATTATTGAATAAATTAAGTAGTAAATAATTGATGGTTTGAAATAGTTCAAGTATATAGAATTAGTTTTAAAAATAGTTGCTAAGTGCATATTTAGTAATGTTGCCTTTTTGGATTTGCACAAAGGTTTAATTAAAGGAATAAGTGACAATGGGCCGTCCATATTATAGATCAAAGAACCAGCAACCGATGGGGAAGAAAGGTTCTCAAATGGCAACCGGTAGGCGAAGTGTAGGGCGGGCCTTCACTAGATGGAGTGACGACCTGGTAAGACATGCAGGAAGTCAATGGATGCAGGTGGCTCCAGACCGTGCTTTGTGGCATACCTTGGTGGTGGTCTATGTTCAGCAGTGGACTTGTGAAGCTTTATTTATTGCGGATCTATGAACATCTTGATCTTTCATTCTTACTGTTATTGTGCTGTCTTGGCCCAGCCTTTTCCTTGTAGTACATTAGTGCCTTGTAAGGTATTAGTGGCATTAACTGAAGACTTATTAATCATAAGTTTTCTTGAAGTGAATAATCGGCGATAATTGCCATTTTGGTGTACATTCGCGCGCTCTATAAAAACACAAATGACCTATTAATAAAATTCTTTTGGTAGGTCTTTTGTCACTTATTACATCGATTACAAGTCCTTGTTGCGTAATTGAAAATAATTACGCAGTACACGACATAGCTCTTTAATATTGACGATGAAGTAAATTCTTTGCACGTCATCTTACATATCAGTCAATGTCAAAATATGGAAGTAACGCTACCTTGAACTATAAGGTATTCTAGGATATGGATAAAATTAATATATACTCCGCAATTTACCAGATATTTTTTGAATTCATCTACAGTGCAAATGCAACCTCGATATAACGAAACTGGAGGGAATTAGAAAATATTTGTTATATGTACCAAGTAATTCGATATAATGAGGTTTGTTATATAGAGGTTAGGTGGGACTACGATTTGTTTAACGTGTTTGAACTTGTCAAGACATGTTTTACCATAGAATTATTACGCATAGAATACTAGTACGCGCAACGAAAGTGAAGCAAGTAAAACTAACGCGAAACCGCGTAAGTTCACTCTGCGACGCGTCTGTGCGCAACGTCACGTCTTACGGAAAAGAGCTCGCGAAAAATTGTAAAGATTACCGTTTTGTTGTAAAATATTGTCACAACGGTGATGATAAACATAAAAGAAGTGATAGTATTACATT